CGTTTACGGCGAGGTGCCCAGCGCCGATACGGTCGTCGCCCTCAGCGCTATTGACGTCTGGGCGCTGAACGTCTATCGCTACGACGACTTTGGCGACCTGTTCGCCGTCTGGGCCGAACGGACCCCTTCCGCCGACAAGCCCATGTTCCTTGGCGAGTGGGGAGCGGACGCGTACAACTCGAATGGCAACGACGGCGCCGGAGCCGAGGACCAGCCCTCCCAGGCCGCGGCGACTACCACGCTCGGCGACCAGATCATCGCCAACCTGGTCCCGAACAACGGCGGCGGCGGCGGCGGAGTATGCTTCGGCGGCGCGCTCTTCGAGTGGGCGGATGAGTGGTGGAAGGCGGGCAACGAGTGGCAGCACGACGTTGGCGGCACCGCTCCAGGCGGCGGCCCGTACCCCGACCGCACCTTCAACGAGGAGTGGTGGGGGCTAGTGGACGTTGAGCGCACTCCAAGGCTCGCCTACGCAGCCTACCGCGACCTCGTGTTCGGGAGCAGTGCTGAGGCCGGCGCGCCTGCGCCGGCTGTGTCGCCACCGCCGTCACCGCCACCGCCACCGTCTCCTCCGCCGCCGTCACCGTCTCCACTGTCGCCGCCCCCACCCTCGCCCCTCGCCCTCTGCGGGACCAGCTCCTGCACCGCGGCGGTCTGGGGACGCATGGCCGGCGACTACGCCTGCGGCGAGCGCATCCTCTGGCTGCAGTCGCCAGCGGGAGGCTCCTTGAGCGAGGCCGCTTCCTGCCGGCAGGTGGCGGGCATGGAGTACGCGGCCGAGTGCGGCGCGTGCAGCCCGTGAAGCGCGGTTGGGGGAGCTAGGGACGGGGTGCTTGGAGGAGAGACGCCTTTGCCAGTGCAGGTGCGCTGCTGCCGAGGCGGCGGCCGCCGCAGCAGCATCGAGCCGGACGACGCGGCGCGCACTAATGCGTGCCACCGTATCCAACAGAGAACAGTACGTGTACGTGTAGTATGTGCATACCCCGAGCGCGGATGTGCGGCTCGTTGTGCGAGTATATGGGACACGATGTCTCAAATATGAGAGGTTTTGACTCCTACCGGCTCCTGACGCTATCCCTGGCAGCTCTAATGACCAGGATCAGTAGTGCTATGATAGAGGGTGCCCATACTAGCGCAGGAGCTGCCACACTCGCCCGGACCGGCTCCCTCTGGGGCCGGTTCCGCAGCCCGTGAGAGCCGACAGCGGGGCCGTGCCGCGGGTGCCTACTGCCGAGTGCCACAAACACTGCGCCGTCCCGCCATCACCTACAGGCTGTCTTGTGTGATGGTTGGGATGTCCAAACGCCACCATCTTGGCTCTTGCGACCTCAAACCCGCGAGCTGTATGGGTGGTCCTGACGTCGACAGACGCCCGATAACCACGGTGAAGCTGAGCCGGAACGAGTCGACAAGTCTCGTCTGAGCCCGTGGCGGTCGCCGGCTGAGTCGCTGTGCACGGGCCGGTACCTCAGGCGTCACCTCCTCAGCCTCAGGTCTCACACTCCACCACCTCCGCCAGGACGCCGTCGGTGGCACGCTCGGCGGCGAGTTTGTGGCAGCCCCACAGC